CCTCCACCCCGGGGGTGGGGGGGGAGCGCGGCGCAGGAAGGGCCGATAGCGAGCCAGGCCGCTCCTCTGCCGAAGGGGCCTTATCTCAGGGCTGCACACGGTGCGCTGAACGCATCCTTTTCCTGGGGTTCAGGGCCGGCCGGGAAGAAGGCGGAGGAGGAGGAGGAGGAGGAGGGCGCGTTGACTTGGCCGCTTTCTCCAACCTTTACAAACTGCCCCAGAAACCAAATCCTGGAGTGCTTTGGCTCAAGTGAACAAACCCCTGTGCATTGTTGTTATTTCATGGCATCGCTCATCAGCCGATGCATCTGCCAGGTTATGGGAGAGCGCCCCCCCCCCGCCGGTTTTTGAAGTTCTGATATCGCTGTTGGTATCGGCCCACCAAAAAGTCTCACATTGATTGGGCAAATTTATTCATGAGAGGGGATCTGCTGGTGGGCATAATGTGCAGTTCTCACCTTCCATGTCTTGTTTTTTATTTTTGTTTGGGGGTGGGGGTGGGGGGGCAAAAGTGTGGAGTGCTAATTACAGGTTACTGGAGTCCAGCAGACACGGTCAAAGGAGGAAATGAGATCCTCAAACGGTGACATAGCAACATGTTTCCAGGTAACTTGTTGCCACCAACATTGCGTCCGGCTGCGGCTGGCGCTGGAGGTCCACTGGCCGGTGCGTCTTTTTATTGGCGCTTCACCAAAAGCCAGCCAGGGAGAACCACATAGCAAGTTTGGAGCCGCTTTTCACCCGACGAGGATGTTTTTCAGCCATCCGCTTCTCCTTTGCGCCGCCTCGGTCGCCCCGGCGGCTTCCAAGCCGCTCGTTTGCGCTCCCGAGAGAGCGAGCGGGCGAGCCTAATTTCACAGGCACTTGTCGTAAAGTGGCCCCCAGCCATCGTTCCCCAAATCCCTGCTCACTTGTCGTTTGGCGCCGCGGGCTCGCTCCGAAGCCTCGTCGCCGCCCTCCGCGGCGACCATTGTGCCCGCATCGACTTTTCTCACAAGTTGTGCGTGCGAGTTTGCTTTAATGGCTGCAAAAGTGCCCAGGTTTGCTCGAAACTTTGAACCGTGTAGCCTCAATCATCCTCGCCATCACCGCGGAATGTTTGATCTCACTCCGCCTCCCCGGTTCAATAGCTCAAGTGTTCGATCCGATTTTTCTTTTCTTTCTTTCTTTCTTTCTTTCGCCGCCTTGATCTATATATACAAACATCAAACAATGGAAATGTATTGACCGCCAGCTGCGTTTTCGATGTATAGCTTGGAGGCTTTGCTCAAAGTCTCTCTCGAGGCCGGTGGAACCCGACTGGCCACAAAGCCACAAAGTATCACGGTTGGTACCAATTTTGAGTGTGGAAATTGTGGGAAAAGATCTTCGAAGCGAGTGTGATTAAAGTCGTTCCAGTTGTCTTCGGGTCGAACGCGTGCCTTGGTTCGGCAGTGGTGCGGCAATTTTGCGGCAGTGGACTGTGAGCTGTGAGCGTCGGCCCTGTTGTGTGCTTCGCAAGTTGACCGGCCCAATGTTATCTTCTTCAGGAGAGCGGCGGCGATTGCCACGGCAACAGCGGCGAGTGTCCGACCCCACCGGCCGCCGTCGTCTCCTACCCGCAACCGGACGCGGAGTCCATCACCAAGACGGTGACCAGCACCCTCAGCGTGCAGGAGTACTTTGCGCGGCGGATGGCCCGGCTGAAAAGCGGCCACGGTCAGGCCGCCGCCGCCGGCGGGGCGGAAGAGCCCCCAAAGAGGAAAAAGAAGAAGAACAAGAAGGCCGTCGAGAAGATGGAAGCGGCAAACGGTGCGGAGGAAGCGAGTGAGCCTGAGCCCGCAAAAAAGAAGAAGAAACGACAAAATGAGGGCGCCGTCAGCAACCACTCGGCGGAGCGAAAGGAAGCCAAGAAGGAGAGGAAACGCAAAAAGGAGACGCCAAGTGGCGCGGCGACCCTCGAACCGGAAACGAAATCGCTCGAGCAACCGGAGGAGACGATCGCCGTGCGGAAGAAATCCAAAAAGCGCAAGAAGCAGCAGCGAGATTTGTGACAAACGGAGCCAGCCAAATCTTGTGAAGCCAAAGCAAAACAGTTGAAGGCAGAAGGCCTTTTTTGTCTTGTTCTTTCAAAAGTGCCGATCACATTTTTAGGCCTTCGGCTTCAACGATGGGCAGACCGGTTCAACCGCATCAGGACGCCCCAGCACCCATCAACCCGGGAATCAACTCGAATGGCGGGCGTGGCTTCAAGCACCGCCCTTGTCCTTGTTGCGGTGCCGAACCCGAGCCGTCGCATTCGTCGGAAGAATGGCGTCATTGAAATCATCCAGCCACTTTGAATGCTCCCACACAACCACTTTTTTTTTTTTCCTCCCGGTTTTGTGTCGCGCTCACTTCATTCACCTGCGGCAAATTGTGAGATATATCAACGGGTTGCGCGATTGACGGGCTCGGAGTCGCGACCACAAGCGACCCGGCTGACTCTTGACTGGTGGCCAGCGACGCGCAGGGACCAACAAACGTGTCCACATTTTGGCCGGTCACACCCCCCCCCCCCCTTTGTCAAGGTCAATCCAAAATCTTATTTGTACATTCGCCCAAGAAAACAAAAGGACTCCAACTTCAAATCTCATTCTGCACTCACGAAGCCATACTTGGAATTTTCTTTTTCTCTTTTTTTTTTTTTTTTTAAATGACTCTGGGCTCAATCTTTTGTCTCATTTGGATGGCAAAAAACACATTTGGCGCTCGGCTTTCTGTCTCATTCTAATTTCTTTGATGAAGCAAACATCGCGCTCAGGTTTTGCTCTCATTTTTCCTCGTTTAAGCTTTTTTTTTTTTTTTTTGTCGATCTTCTTGATGCTCATTTCTTATTGGAAACATTAAAACGTAAGGCTCGGGCTTTGTCTCCTTTTGGTGTCATTTTTCACCTCATTTCTCATGACGACAATACGGGCCTGGACTTTTCGTTTTTCCCTCTAGACAGAAAAACACCGGGCCTAAGTTTGTGTCCGATTTTCCCCACATTTCCCAAGAGATGATTGTTGCGTGACTTCCGCCTTTTGGCTGCTGCTTCATTGGCTCCATTCAAGCGGCTCAAGTAGTTTTTGTTTTTGCTGTCCGACCAAAACAATGCCAGCAAAACACACCAGGTCCTTCAATGAACTTGACTCATGTTTGCATTGTTTTTTTTTTTTTTTTTTTTTGTTTTTTTTAGCCCCTCTTTGATGAAGCCATGTTCTTATTTGGTAGTTCTGGGCTGGCGTTCCGATGGTCAAGTTGCATCATGTGGCCAACGCGCTGACTTTCACTCCAAATCAGTGCGTTGGGAGGAAACGCGAGCCAATGCATCACTGATGTGTCTGCGGGAGGCACAATCTGGGGCGGCAGGTGTCGTATCCTCTTCCTCTCTGTGTCTGGGGGTGGGGGGGCTTTTCCACTCTTTTGGGAATGTGTGTGTCGGTGCGAGATTTGCATGGTCCTTTTTGCATTTTGCTTTTGCATTTGTCGGCGTGATCGGTGAAATCCCTCCAAAATCAAGCGAAACGGCTTTCTCAAGGTAAGTGAAATAAATGGCTTGTGCTCGCTGAGCTCATTCCGCCAGCGGTTCTCCTGACTGTGACGTTTGTTTGCTCGTTCATGTCGGTAACAGTCGATTCATGTTTTGGTTTCATTCTCACAGCCTCAAAGTAACCCCAATAAAAGCAGATCCCGGATAAAGCTCTGCTGCCGGCAGTCTGTGATATCTGTCAAAAATCGGCAGGTGCACCTGACTCAGCTCCAAGGTAAGAAATGCACTCGTATGCTTCATTGAGTCCCGCTTTGCAGCGGTTTGGCCAGAACCGTCAATATTCCGTTTTTCGCACGAGGAATTATTATTGCCAGCTAAAGCGAATGCAGCTGGCTCCGCGCTCCCGATGGCAACTTTTCTCTCTGCCTACGACTTTATGGATGACTAATTTTCCAAACCGTGTGGGCTTCGAACCCCTCAAAAATCAGCGGACGCGCCGATACTTGCGTTCTCCATAAAATGCCAAATGCACATGATGCCTTTCTGAGCTCCAAAATGCGAATGCTATGTTAGTACGATGAGGCTGGCAATCTCGGCCAGCTAAGCTAACAATGCTAGCCGTGTGCCCCGGGTCGCGACCTTTAGTATTAGCTGATAAATTCTGTTGCCAAGATAGGATTGAACACAAACATTTGCGGATGAGCCGACCAATTTGATATAAGAAGCCTCTCTATAAAGCTGTTCGCTGTCTGCGTGAAATTCCCTGCCCCCCCCCTCTTTATTTTTTTACCTCCCCAAATTGGATTTGTGTCATGCACGATTTATGATGTGTTTTAGTCACTTTTTAATTTGAGTTGAAAAAGTTGGGAGACTCATCTGGTGTGGTCATATTCCCGATTTCAGTCTGACAACCAAGCGAGCCTCTGACCCGCTGCGAGCGACTCCGGCCACAACCGAAGAGTTATCCTGTCAACAGGAACTCCCACATTTGAGACAGTCGCTCGTCGCTCCAGAAGGAAGGTGATTCGTGTCGCGCGCGTGTATGTTCAGCATTTTATCTCGGAAGTGTAAAAATAAGCGAACCGCCAGTATGAATCCTTCACTCTACGATGGCCTCAGTGTGCAGCTTCCAAGCTCGGTGCAACTTTGGAGGATAGAAATTCAATCGAGGAAATACCGAAAGTAGCGGCTATGTCCTGTATGTGGAAAGATTTTGAAGTGCGATTTAATGATGATGTACGGCCATTGCTTAGGGTAGAGTTCTTGGAGAGTGATGGTTCGGGAGAGGCGAGGATTCCACCCAACAGTCGACACCACCTGGGATTTGGTGCTTTTGACGCGCACCACAACAACTGGTCTGAGAAGTTTTTGGGCGCGTCTTGACTTGCGCCACCGCACAGGCACAAGCACCAAAACCGAAGAGGAATGCCAAACCCCCCCTGCCCACACACGTTAGAAAAAAAAACCCAAAACAAAACCGGACCAAAGCAAACAATAACAAAAAACGAACAAGTTTCCGCTCTGATTTAAGAGGGACTCGAGCGCAGTGAGCGCATTCGGTGCGCGCGTCCCGTTTTGTTTTGTTTTTTTTTTTTTTTTCGCGTCGGACTCGCTCGCCGAGGAGGAGCCGAGAGGAGGCCCCCCTCCTCAAATATAAAGCCCCCCGCTCGACGCCAGAGGAGAACCTGGCTCACACCTCGCCGAGGAGGAGCTCGCACCTCAGCAAGTGCCGTTTTCGCACCGAATAGCAACTTTTTGGGTTTCTCCCCTCCCCGCCCCCTCCTTGCCCCGCTTACCCCACTCCGAGTCGCGGCGAGCGAGTGGGCGCTCGGAAGCAAAAGAGCGCAAGTCGGCAACGCGGGCGGGCAGGCGGCGCGCACATGGCCGCCCTCATCAGCGCCTACTCGTCGTGGCCCGAGTCGTTCGAGTGTCCCCCGGCGGACGGTGACTTGGCCTCGGCCGCGGCCGACGCGCATCGCGGCGCCGGCGGCGGCGACAAGCCGGCCGAGCCGCGCATCCGGCGGCCCATGAACGCCTTCATGGTTTGGGCCAAGGACGAGCGCAAGCGGCTGGCCGTGCAGAACCCGGACCTGCACAACGCCGAGCTCAGCAAGATGCTCGGTAAGTCCGTCGCCGTTTTTCTTCTCGTTTCCGACTCGGAGCAGTTTCCACGTTTGTCTTTGAAGCTTCGTTTCAAGCGCGTCTGTCTGCGCGTGGTGCGCAAAGCAACGGATTCGATTTTCGGCTCCGCACGGGCCACTCGCTCCAGCGTGGCTTTTGGGGTGCAAAAAGACGCACCGTTTTGATGTGCGTGGGAAGAGAAAAGTGGGGGGGGGGGGGTGAGCCCGTTTCCAAGTTCGGCAAATGGCACGCGCGCTATAGACAGTCAGTGGATCAATCCTCTCGTTGGATGTTTTCTTATCAAAAATAAATACAAATGTGATCTCGGGCACATTTGAAGAAAACATTTCCCATTTAAAGCCAAAAGACTAATACACGGAGATTTTTTAATTGCATTTTTTTTTTTCACAATCTGACTCAACTCTTTGATTTTCAACCGTATCTCACTGCGTCAAAGTGCATTTTACGCATGAATCAAAGACATTTGATCACGCGTGAAAATGTTCCGCTGTCGCTCGACAACTCCGAGCAAACTTGTTCACTTCAAAGCTTGAACGGTTGACGCGGGAATGAAGACTTTGGTGGATCTTCGCGGTTGACAAATTTCCCCCATTTCACGCGGCCGTGACAGAAATCTCTGTGGCGTCAAGTCAGGGCAGGCTCGGCTCGGCCGGCGGACGTGACACATGACATCTCGAGATGTTGGGGGGGGGGGGCGAGAATGGAGCCAAAGGCTTCATGCTTTTTCCGCGACAAGTCTCCAGGTGTGAAAGCCTCGAAATGTTGACCCAATAGAGATGGTCATTTTTCAATTTAGAACCCAGTGTGACGCCGCCACAATTTGCAGAATGCGGACACGCGTTCGATGTTTGAAGTTACGCCTCCCCCAAAATCAAATCAAATCAAAAAACGGGAACAAATATTTTCGTGTGTATTATGCCCCAAATCTTGAATTTCGCATGTGGCCGTGTCATTTTTCTGCCGTCGTTGCCTCCCTTCATTCAAAGAGGTGAACACACACACACACACACACACACACACACACACACACACCCTCAAGTTGATAAGAGAGCGTCAAGCTTCTCGAGTTTGGACGAGTTCTGGAGCAAATGTGGAGTGTTTTGGCACGCTGGAATGATGCTTGCGGTTGTTCTCCATCAGGGAAGTCGTGGAAGGCCCTGACGCCGCCCCAGAAGAGGCCCTACGTGGAGGAAGCCGAGCGCCTGCGTGTGCAGCACATGCAGGACTACCCCAACTACAAGTACCGGCCCCGCCGCAAGAAGCAGCTGAAGCGCATCTGCAAGCGGGTGGACCCCGCGTTCCTGCTGGGCGGCCTGGCCCCCGACCAAAACGCCCTGCCCGAGCAGCGGGCCCTGTGCCGACCCCTGGATAAGGACGACGGGAGCGACCCGGCGGCGGCGGCCGTCCGCTTCGCCGGCCCCGGCCCGGCCCTGCCGAGCTTCCGGGACCCGGCGGCTTCGACGAAAAAAAAAGTGGACCGCGAGCACGCGCCTCCCTCTTACTACCCCGCCATGTCCTGCTCTTCCCCTGACGGGCGCCACGCGAGCCAGATGGGCAGCCCGCCGCCGTACCACCCGGACTACGCTCCGAGCCACATGCAATGCGCGGGGCCGCACGTGTCCCACATGACCCCCGGTCAGAGCGGCGGCCTGATCCCCGGCTCGTACTACGCCGCCTCGCCGTTCCCGCTGCCCCACCACGGCCTCCGCCACGGCCACGCGGGGCAGCTGTCCCCGCCGCCGGAGACTCAAGGCCACCTGGAGACTCTGGATCAGCTGAGCCAGGCCGAGCTCCTGGACGAGGTGGACCGCAATGAGTTTGACCAGTACCTCAACTCGGGAGGGGGCGGCTTCCACGCCGAGCAAGGCGGCGGCGGCGGCGTCACAGGCCACATCCAGGTGTCCGCCGCCACGAGCGCCACAGAGACCAGCCTGATTTCGGTCCTGGCCGACGCCACCGCCGCCTACTACAACAACTACGGCATCTCGTGAGCCGCGGGGCCGCCGCCATCAAAGACGCTTCCGACATCCGTCCCTTCATTTTCTAGCACTGCTCCCGTTCGGGGTCACGCGTCGGTGGGAGGTCATCCCCAGAGAGTTTGGCGCGACAAGCCGAGTTCACCCTGAACCGGCCGCCAGTCAATCACAGTGCACACAACACGCATCCATTGGCTTTGTAGACCGCCGCGCCCGTGAAGGTTGCTGGAGGCTCCCTGAGCCGACTCTCGGCGACGGAAGTCGCGACCACCCAACGTGGCGCGCACGCACGCTAGAAGCTATCCGTCCATCCGTTTTCCGTCACGCTTGTCCTCGTTCAGGTCCCAGCAGATTGAAGAGTTTTTAGCAGGGGAACTCCGAATGGGTCACAAGGCACTTCTCGGCAAACGTGCAGCCGTTATTTTCGACCCTTTCGGCTCACCGGTAACTGGAGTCTCGCCGAGAAGGCTTTCGTGCTTTTGCTGGAGGCTCCCCGACCCGCCTTGGCACTTTTGGCGGCAGAAGCGGGGTTGTTTCTCGCAACGCGCATACACTGTCGCGATAGAGACATGCATCCAAACATTTTTTTTTCCATCCGCATCGGGGTAGCGAGCGGGTCACGATCCCCAAAGACTTCTTTCTCCCTTTTGGTGAGAGGAGCACCTGGACCAGTTGCCAATTAATCGTAGCGCACGTACATCAGCAAAGAATTCTTGACATTCGCACGTCCGAGCAGTTTGATGTCAGTCTGCAATGCACTCGACGCGTGCGGCGGGACGAAAAGTAACAGTTTGAAAGCCGTGCCGAGCACCAGAGCGCGACATATCCGGCCGGCTGCTGGCACCAAAACTTCGGAGGCACCTCAGGGAAGGTGATGGGGGCCCCTCCACTTGTCGTCTCCATTTCAGACCCCCGACTTTGTGCAAGCGGAACCACTGATGGACGCTCGCCAGGAGCTCATTGAAAGCTTCTCGTTTTGGTCATGCTGTCCCTTGCGGAGACTTACCTCGCTACTCGTCGCCCCGGTGAGGGTTTTGTCTCCAGTACGCCCCCCCAATTGAGCTAGGGTGAAATGTATGCCGATTTAGATTGTAATTTAAAAGTGATGAATTGTCATTTCCTGTACAAATCAATAAACGCCGATGCTGGTGCCGAACTGGAACATGTTGGACTTTGTTTGTGCTTGTCATACACCCACTGCCGCCATCATCATCATCATCATCATCCTGGTGAGGATTAGACACAAGAACAAAGCCACGCGATGCCGCCTCCGTCCCCTTAGCGCCGCTTTTGTTTTGCCGCAATTCCGGGTTTCTTTTACCCCCGTCTATCACGTCCATGTAGAAAATACGTAAATAGTGCGGCGGTTTGATTTGCAAACTCGCCCCATTTTTTCCGCTAAAAGGAATTCAGGGTGGAGGATGTTGGGGGGGTCACAGTATGTCCAATTGTCTGGCGGTTTGGGGGTTGGCAAACGCCTCAGAAAATATTGCTGGTCACTTCCATTTGGCCTGCCACATCAATCCCCTGCTGTCCGGTGTAGTTAATGACACAGTCAGGCTCGAGAATGACTGCGTGGGGGTGTAGAAGTGTGTGTGTGTGTGTGTGGGGGGGGGGCGTAAATCTCAAATCTTCTTTCCCCATTGGAATCCGTGCAAACGCCACGAATCCATTGCGGCCTGCTCGCAACAACGCCAACAAAAATGCTCACAATTTGTGGTTCAATGAGAAAAAAAGAGCAGCCCGGAATGATGTGCTCCATCTCAAAAACGTTTCACCGTGGCCATTTTTTCCACATATTGCGTCGTAGGTTGTTTTTTTTTCATGTCCTCATTCTTATTGTAAGAATACAGCACCTGTTTTCACAAAAGGCAAAGGAATAAAACCGAGAACTGGAGAACCGCCGATTCTCACTCGGTTCATCGATATGGCGGCAGGAACACTCTCGGTGTGCGTCTACGCCGCTGGAAGTGACAACATTCATCACGTGTGCGGCGCATTCCTTCAGGGTGATGACGACGTGACGAGGAGCCTCCCGGGGCGGCCGCGAAAGTGCTGGTGCGTCTGCGGTCAACTCCGGGTCGTTTGGGGCTGCGGCGGCGGACTCCCTCGGCGAAGACCTGCGAGCGCGTCCCACATTCATCCACTCGAGGGCAACGAGTGCCCTCGCGCGCCGACATCCCATCCCATCTTTACTCAGGAACCTCAGTACGATGGCGCCGTTTTTGACGGCGAGCGCCAGGTAAGAAAGCCGCTGACATTGGAATGGAGCCGTGCGCTGAGCCAGCTTTGCTGACTTTGTTTTCCCTTTGTCTCGTTGCTCGTTGTCTTTTTGTAGAGGTCTCACCAAAGCATCCAACGTTCGTGTCAAAAGCACTGTTCTGCCTGACACGATTCTTTTCACATCAAGCTTGTTTTCTCAGCTTTTTGCTCAGAAGTGTCAGGGTTTTGGGGAGGAAGAAAAACAACAACCCATGCTCTACTGCTAATTACAAAAAAAAAAATGGTCGCGAATTATTGGGCTGGGTGAAAGAAGAGATTCGACTCTCTCATTTCGTAGGTTCACTGCTCCGAGTGTCACAGACCACAATTTTCTCAAAATACTCCAAAATGGCTTGCAATATGGCGGTCTACTTTGAAAACAGGTGGCAGTGGATGAGTTTAAAAAAAAAAAAAGCATCAATTGGACCTGTCAATTCAGGAGAGAAAGCCTCATGACACCATTCAATGGGAGCACACAGATTACAAAGAAGTGGACCTCAAATTAAGCCTTGGGGGACGCCGCAATTCAATCAATGAACGAAGACTAAAACTTACTGAAAAAGGTCAGTGACTCAAAGGTTGCAGTGAATGAGTTCAATTCGGGAGCTCGGAATTCAACTTGTCAATCAAGGTGCCGCGCCGTTCTCATTAAGAGGTCAAAAAGTTCAATGTCGCAATCCAATCTCTGGCATCCTTGCAAGATGCACAATATTTGCTCGCGTACATGAATGCTGGCTGAACAAACAAGGGAACCTCCTGGTTGTTTTCTTTCTTTCTTTTCGCAGGCTGATTGCCGGCTGGCCGCGTTCCAGCCCGCGGTCGGGGTCAGGGCGGTGGAATGAGGCTGTCAGGTAGTCTCTTATGTTTCCTCTTTCCTCCCGTGCCGTCATGTCGCTTCCCCGGCCAAACAAACAACAAGCGGGGCGTCAAGGTAAAACGCCGCGCAACAGCTGCGTAAAGTATTATCCATCCGTTGCCTTTCAAGTGACTTGAAAGCCGCCAGAGTCCTCCGGAGGCACGCAGGAGGCCGACTGTCTGGCGATGGTGCGGCTCCTCGCCGTCCGCTCGCATCACCTCGCATTCTCGCCATGCTAATTGGGGGTCGCGGCGAAAGGGCGGATTCCAATTACGTGACCGAGGCGGGCGCTTTCATTCTTCCTACACTGTTGCTTCCTCGGCCTTCATTGAACGATACGGAAACGCGGGTTCATTGAACCGGCCGCGATCCGGTGGAAAAGCTTCGCGTGTATGATGGCGCTGGCCCCTCGCAAACTAAATCTTGCTCGAGTGAAGCGTAAGAACCTGTTTAGGATTTGTACTTGCATCTAAATGGGGCCAAAAGGGGCAAAAGACACACGCATACACACACGCACGCGCACACATCTTGCAGCAAGGGATTATGGGTGCTATTCTTCATCTCATTGTGGCTCAACAACGGGCGGCGAGCAGGCAGGCGTGTTCGGAAGAATGGAGCAGACTTGTCAAGGGACGGCTGCCATGTGGCACACGATGTGTGCGTGTGTGTTTGTGCGGGGGTGGGAGGGAGGGCATGCAGATGGGAGACCCCTTTGGAAAACTTGGGGGACCGAACCAGCGGCCAAGGGCCTCCCAGCCGTCCGTACCTGCGCCGCGAACGCTGCACCTGTTCTGAGCAGATACAGCAGCAGGAAGGGGGGGCCGGGGGGGGACCGGCGCTTGGCTGCCAGTGCGGCGAAAGGATGAGACTAAGATTGTCCATTTATCCTTCGCTCGAACATTTACTCCAATGAGAAAGTCGTTTTTGCAGGTGGTCAGTATGTCTGCAGCGCCCTCCATCATTTAGAATCACGCTATTTTTGTGGTCCACTTATCTGAGCGGTGTGTCGATTTTTCGAATATCCGCTTTATGTATGCGTCTTAAAAAAATGCTGCCTTTTCTCAGTGGAAGTGAGTAAGAGCGTGTTGACCGCATGTTCTTCCCCGGAGGAACTTTGAGAGCGGTGGCGAATCCGCACGTCAACGCTAACGCACGGCGCGTCCGCCGCCTTGATGTGCCCGCTTTCAACTTAAAAAAGCTCCGCGGGTTCGGGGCCCCGCTCCAGGGCGACCTTGGCACCGGGTGCCCGTCATCCTTTCCATGGAGTTACGGCCGCGATGTGTTGCTCCCGAGCTTGAAGGAATGGTTTCCTGCCGGCCGCCCTTAAAGAGGTCCACGGTGAAATCATGAAACGTACGGAAGTGACTCATGCTGCTGTCCCTCCCCAGAGTTGAGACAGCGCTGTTGTTTCTGCTGCTGCTAAAATGGCGCGTTGACAGCTTGAAAACAGGATACGAGCTCGCGTAGCCGTGTGTGTGCGTGCGTGTGTGTGTTTATTGCAGATGGCCGAGCACTTAAGAGCAGACGGGTCTGCCCCCGCAGATAAGCAAAAACAGCAAAGACGCTCACGTCTGCGTGTATGTAACGCAGGTATGGAACACGTTTGTAAACAATAGCCGCCCGTTTAGCTCTGGGTGGGGAAAAGTGATGGACTACGGCTAACGTGAGCTGAAAACGATGACAAAAACGTGTGTGTGGGATTGCGACACTGGGTATCCCATTATATCATTCGCTGCCAGCTGTTTTCAATGCACAATTCCCCACACTGCCTTGCTCGTCCCCCAAGGGTCAATTTTAGGTCCACTTATTTTCAGTCTCTACCAGCTGCTACTCAACTGACACCATTTGGAGACATGGCATACATTTCCACTTTTGCACTTTGTCAAATCCAGATCCAGAAAGAGAAAACCCTTCCACCGTTTGGGTTTGGCCACAGGTGCTTCTACTCAACCGCAGGTAAATGAGCTCCTTTATTATTAATATTATTAACCAACTTGTGTGACTTGAGCACTTGTTAAAGCTGTTACTGCTGATGTTGGTTTTCTTGAGAAAAAAAAAGTTCATGAAATACAGCTAAATTGAGATTTGAGTTAGTCTAAAACACACACACACACACGAGCAAAGGGCTCACCCTGAAATGCTTCCCAGCCAAGAAATAACCATGACAATTACAAAAGTAGGACTAAATGAAACCTTAATGGAAATAATTCGTTGGAGTTGATGGTTGGACACATGTCTTGTGTTGTTGAGTGCTCTTTGGCAAGGAATGCTGAAGATGGTCAGCTAGTTCTTTGGCTTATCTAGATCATCCAGAGCAGCTTTTCGTTTGAGGATATCGATTTGAAAGCTGGTAGGTCGTCCTCCCTCAAGGCCCACACTGCACACTTTGGCTTCTATTGGCACGCTCACGCAAGAAAACGCTGCTGTGGAATGACACAAGTCACAACTACAGACCACCTCAAGGAAGAACATTGCATTCCATCTGCTCTCGGAACCCTTTCCACATCGGCCCAATGTGTCGTGTGAGCGGTTGCGGAACTTCGGTTGGAGATGGCTCATGACGGAACACCACGTCGTCTTCAGGCGCTAAGCTGTCGCCATCTTGCGGCCAGTGTGAGAAATGCTGTAGGGGACAACTTCCGGGAATCCAAAACACGCCGTTTTCCATTTGTCTCGTGCTGTAATCTATTTTTGCTTTTGAGATAAAACTTGGAAATCAAACTGTTTATTCGACTTTTACTCGTTCCACACAATAAAGAAGAAAATCAAGCTGTATTTAAATTTGGGTGTTTCTCGATGAAAACTAAAAACGAACAACGAGGTGGGTTCTCTTCCTCCTCCTTTTCGATATTTTCTTTCTCTTAATATCTAATTACGGAACACACCCTCGTTTTTTAGTTTATATAATTATAATATAATAGAGCCAGGCATCCTATGTCAGGATGGCCGAGCGGTCTAAGGCGCTACGTTCAGGTCGTAGTCTACTCTGTAGGCGTGGGTTCGAATCCCACTTCTGACATGACTTTTGCTTTCCTGTAAGCCAGGGGTAGGGAACTCCGGTTCGTCGAGAGCCATCTCCTGCTTGTTTTCGATCCCTCCTCTACACCAACGCAGCTGATTCAAAGGATCAGCTCATCAGTAAGCGCTGCGGAAGCCTGAAACGATCGTGATCAGCTGAATCAGGTGTGTTGGAGTAGGGAGAGCTCGAAAGCAGGCAGCAAATGGCCTCACCCTGCTGTAAGACGACCCGTTTTCTTCTTGTCACTCATTAATGACGATATTATGCCACACACAGTATTCAAGGGCAAACAACACGACATTTGACCAGATCGGTGACTTCAAGGGGAGAGTGTGCTCAATATCACTGCCAATGTACACGAGCAAGTGCTTGCAAGCTTTACACTAAAGGATGGCTAAATGCCTCATTGTATGAGTTGGGAAATGATTGAATCTTGCAGTTTACACACAGTGTAGTTATCCATCACTAAAATAAGACAATGTTTGTTTTGTCTGCAGAGTGAACTTGAATACTGGCATGAAAGTGAGAAAGTCCAACTATCTCCCTTCTTGGCCAACCTCCAAGCAGCAGTTTTGGACTGATTTCATTATCTGCTACCGTGCCAATCTCATTACGGTGGGATTAGCGCTGCAGGTTCTTGCAGATCTGCGATAACGCACTGGGTGGGGGGGGGCGAGGCTGAAGAGAAAATGTGTTGTCAAAACGTTCAATTCCGTTTTCGATGGTGTTCTTGATAACCTATGGAACTTTTCCTGGATCAATCCATTTGATAGAATCTGAAAGGACTGGACTGATTTCATTATCTGCTACCGTGCCAATCTCATTACGGTGGGATTAGCGCTGCAGGTTCTTGCAGATCTGCGATAACGCACTGGGTGGGGGGGGGCGAGGCTGAAGAGAAAATGTGTTGTCAAAACGTTCAATCTTGTTTTCGATGGTGTTCTTGATAACCTATGGAACTTTTCCTGGATCAATCCATTTGATAGAATCTGAAAGGACCGTCCCAGATTTTCTTTGCAAGAGTATGTGCGGCAGCACAGTAGTTTGACGAATACTGTGTACGATTGCGATGCGAGCCCGAGGACACTCTCACGTGGATTTCAGTGGAGCTGAAGCTTGAACGCAAACTTAACACGTGCAATTGTTGGATAGCTTTTAGTTCCTCCGCTCTTGTTTGGGGTGCCACTGAGTGGGCTTGGCCTGGTCTCCCCGTGCTCGCGGGGGTTATCTGCGGGTACTTCGGCTTCCTTTCGCATTCCCCAAAACATGCATGTTGAGTTCATTGGTGACTCCGAGTTGTCCGTAGGAGTGAATGTGAGCGTACGCGATTGTCTCCTTGCGAATGGCCAGCAGGCAGACCACAGGCTATCTATCCTTCCTCCTCCCCACCTCAGCCGGAATGGGCCCCAGCTCCGCCACGAGCGTTCCAGCAGTCGAGATGGCAAGCCCTGCCACTCCTAGACGTTAATTACTTGTGATGGTTGAACTGAGGCCAGCTGTCCAGGAGAGCTAAGCCGCACTGCACATGCCCAGTATTGCACCAGCTTTTGCTTTGTGTCCCCCACCTGATGCAAATGGTACAAACCTTCCTTTGCGCTATTTTCTCCCCTTGGTGAGTCAGGACATCATAAATCTTCCCACGTGTCCCGAGAATAAACAAAAAGTAGCTCTAATCGTTAGCTGCGATTCCAGACTGCTGACTGCAAACAATTTCCCGTGATTCAGGTCACACGGCATTGT